CACAACAATTTTCTTGTCGGTTCTTTTTTCTGGGTTTATTTTGTGGAGTGAGAATGGGAGGCGCGGCGGCGGTGTTAATGAAAATTTGTTGAATTTCAATTAATTCTCGTATTCGCGTTTTGTTTGCCAGTTTCGTGAGGCTTATAGCGAGGGTGTAGCGCAGACACAAACATGCGAACGACTGCAGACGTAAACGACCTTCACAATTAGCGCGATATATGCAATAGATACACATCTATACAAATCTTTATATATAACTGTGTATATATCTGTGCGATATACGAGATATGCACGAGTCTTCATCTCGGAAAGGAAATCGACGTCAAAAAGTGCAGAAGATAGAAGAAACAGAGAGTATATACAGACTATATATAATATGCTCAGGTAACCGAATGGTTTTTGACACACGCAAATGCCTAAACAAAAAATTTGTGCTAAGAGCGCAAAAAAGAGAAGCACAAAAATGCACAAATTAACAGAAAAAAAGTTTACAAAGTAATTAAATTTATGGGAACACATATAAGTTTTATGGTGGATGCGGCTCGGTTCGGATCGGAACGAATCTTCTTGTAATTGGACGGAACAAAATTTCCATTCATTAAAATGTTTTTGTGCAAACTTTGGCGGCGCTTCGCGTGCTTTTCGCAATATTTTCATAAAAAGAAAAAAACACCAAAGGAAAAACTAAATGTGCTATTGGGTTTTCCAAGCAGTCGATCAGCTGATGTTGACTGGGGTTATCCCCATTCTGTATTTAGATTGTTTTTGATAATGTATAACATGTTAATGTTAAAGTTGATATTAACATTAATGTTACGACTTATGTTAACGATATGTTATGTTCAGCAGATGTTTAAGCTGAACATCTGATGTTTGCTTTTTTATATTTTTTTGCCAAACTAACATATAGGTAGATTTTAGATAAATGTTAAATGAAATGTTAATGTTAAAGTTGATGAAAGACTAAATGTTAAAGCTAGTGTTAATGTTATGCTATGTAAGACCCAAGCTATATAGATTAATTATCGTTGAAAATCAAGACATAGAACATCTTTGCAGCCAATCTATTCTTGATAGCTTATCAAAGCGCATGAAAATAGTTTAGTAGCCCTTGAAATGAACTGTCAAGTTACGTGTATTGCCGTTGTTTTATCATCAAAACAATTTCACGTCTATTTTTATTAATTAAGCAATCCACATTAAAGAGATATGCTTATGTAGATTATTATATTGCCAGTCTTCGAAGGCCGACTATTTGAAGTATCAATGCATTGACCGGAAATCTAGTTGTCTGCCTTGTCAAAAATAAATAAATAAAAATATGAAACAAAAAATCTTTGAACACAAAAAATGAAAACGAAAGAAAAAAATGCCTACCCCTTGCTGCAGTCTCTTGCTGTACATTCGAGACACTCAATTCTGAAACAGAAAACATACGGGTCGGCCGAAGACAATGCGTAGAAAAACTAGATGGAATATAACTAGATAACAGTGCTATACTACATGGAAAACAACTTTCACTTTGTGTAGGGAACGTACGAATAAAAAAAAAAATGAAATAAAAATACAAAAATTAGGATGAAAAAAATGTATAAGTATAAACGAAATATTATAAATCAAATGCATAGACATGAAATGAAATGGAAACAACACGCAAAAATGGAACGAGAATAATTTTATTTTATATTTTCTATTTTGTTTTTCTTTCTTTTCTTTTTTTTGTTTTAATTTTTTTTTTTGTTTTTGTTTTTGTGCGCCCGCTGCTTGCCAATAATTTGAAGAGGCGTTTTGCGGAATTTTCTGCAGACGTCAGGCCTTGACTGACGTCATTAGCGCGAATTTCAAATTGGAAACAAGACAGCAGAAACGTGGTTCGAATCTCCTGTCCTGCTCCTGCCTGATAATTACTTGGGCGCTGTGCGAGAATAAAAGCAATTATGCCGCATACAGACATCAATACGGGTTATTTATTTATCCATGAACATTTGTTGTGCTCCTTCTCTTTCACATTGTTTTTTTTTTTTTTAATTTTTATTTTTTATCTTGGTTCTTCGTAAATGTGCAAATAATCAACGCGGAGTCAAAGGCAACAACAATTTGAGTTATATTTAGACGATGTTCATTTGGGCGTAAAAAATAAATAAATGACAATCAGCAGAGGGGGCAGCGCAACTTGGAGGGGTTGCTGGCAGGTGGGGCTGCCGCTTATCGTCGCTGGCCTGGGAAACGCTTTCGTGCGCGGCGACAATTTTGAACATTTTTTCTTTATTTTTTTTTTACATTTCTAACGATATTGATAAGCCAAGGGGATCATGAAGTCAGGCCAATTGCAAACATCGCGTACATAGTTCAAACTATTAACTGTAACATACATACATACGTATGCATATTTTTGCATGTGTGTGTGTGTGTGTGTGTGCAGGGAATTTCCCGCAATAACAGCAACAAAGAGCCCAGCGCGAGAGCAGCCCCAACAATAACAACAACGACGCATATAAACAAAGACGTAAAATGGAAACAACACAAACAACGCTGTGGCTGGTGCAAATAGCAAAATGTAAAAAAAAAATGCATAGAGATGACAATTAGCGAAAATTAACGATTAATGCACCAGCAAAGAGCAAACGATATCTTTATATATTTCCATCACTAACTTAGCATCCCCGGGAATCGAAAACTAGTCAAAAGTAAAAGTTTGTCAAAATATATTCAAGACATCTTAACCAAACTCAGCGAACATCGTGCACCTACATATATCATAAACCCATCATGGAAAAAATCACAAATATTTTTACATTTACACGAAAAGTCGTGAAACGTTTCTTACTATGCACTGACAAACAATGGCACCTGTATGCGCCGAAATTAGGCAAAAAAAAATGTATATGGAAAAAAACAATGAGGGCCATTGATAAAAGCATGTTGAAAACTCTGGCACATACATAGAAAATCAATATTTGCACTTTTAGATTAGAAATTATGAGGAAAAATATAGCAACTAATACATGCGTACTAGGGCACACATGTATTTAAATATTTTCATAAGAATTAAGGCCATTATGGCAAATAGGCAATGGCCCGGACTCCGCACGTCGGACCCCGTCGTTTCCAAGCCCGGGCCCTGTCTGAGTTTTGTGTGTTATCACTTGCGAATGGGGCGGGGGCGGAATATAAAAATACCTACAAACATATACATACACATGCTCGCTCGTAAATGTACGTATGTACGTGCACTTAAGCACACACACACACACAGTGAAAGAAGAGTATGGGTGTGCGAAAGAGACACGTAGAGAGCGACAACAGCGACGACGCTGCTGTATTAACGGCAAAAAACGGCAACAACAACAAGATAAAAACCAGCCAGATCGTCTGTGTGTGTGTTGTGTTTCAGTGTGCGTGCGAGCGAGAGAGCAAGCACATAAAAACAGGTGACATTGGCAGCAGCGCTACGCAATAATAGATAAAAAAAAAAATACATAATTCAAATAAAATGTAAAGTGCCAGCCAAGTTAAGAAATTACACGAAACATGGCCCAAAATGCACAGCCAGTGTGTACACACACAGATTTATGAGCGGGAGTTGGGGGCGGACGCAACTTGTTGCGTTCATATATGTAAACGCTTTACATATTGTTATTTCTATTTTCCACTTACCAATAATAATTATTAGAATATTTGTAAAGTGTGCGCCTTTGGGCTGTGTTTATTGCTCAGCACTTTGCGATTGCATCAACTTGTATTTTCACTTTTTCTCTCTTTATGGCCCTTGCGTTGGCGCTTGATTGGCTTTCACTATTGCTTTTGCACTTGTTGCAAAAAAACGCACATGCACTCGCTCGTCTTTTTATTCGGTTACGTTACGTTTTTGCGAAGCGTTTAATGGTATTTAATAATAATTATTTTGATTTTCGTTTTATTTCTACGCGATCCGATTGATCCGCGAACTGTGTGGCAAATGAAACAGCTGATTGATTGATAACAGAGAGTGAAATTTAACAGTTTGCTGAACTGTTAACAACAGCGATAACTTTGTAATTTGAAAAATGTCGTTGCTGTTTGCTTTTAGTTAAGCCCTGAATTAATAATAGTTAAATAATACAAAATTTTACTCAGTCTGGAGTTTGCTTAAAGAAAAAGGATCGCGTCTTAAAATGCAATTAACAGCTCTAAATAATAATAATCGATGAATATCAGAAGATTCTTATTAAATAAATATCGATATATCAACAGCCTCATATACCGATATTTCATTTGATGCATTCAGAAGAATCTGGAATGACTAAACACAACAGGTAAAGTATTTAAAACAATTGGGCACACGATTTTATCTTTAGTTTACTGTCACTACAAATTCAATAATTTAAACACAGTTTTTGGTTTGCTTTCAAACTGCCATAAGCAACTTGATTGTCTTATATTTGCGTTTAGAATAAATGAAGAGCTTTAATACCAAACCTTGATCAAATTACATATACCATAAATAATATTTGAGAAACTGTTCAACTATATATTTAACATACATTCGCAGATGTAAAATGGCCCTAAATCAGTCCAAAGAGATAGTAAAACAAGGGCAAGACAAGAGCCGCCTTCGCAGCTGAAATGCCGGTCACGCCAATAATAAGCTTGAAAACGCCGTAGAAGAATAATAGCTGGAGCGCCACATGCAGACCCAGGAGGCTGTAAAGCAGGTGGGCAAGTGTTAAGCATGGCAAGTGAGGTCAAGCAATATTTACTAACATTTTATCTTTACGACGTGCTTTTTCCAGATTCTTGGGCGATTCCTTGCTCAGATACTGACGCACTCCTCGGATTGTGTTGGCAAAGTACTCATCCCATGTCAGTTCCCCGATGTCAATGGTAAACTTTTTCTTATCCACTAGATTCATTGTTTTGGACAGCGCCAGTAGACGTTTGCTGTCAAAATGCCATTCGGTGAATATAAAACGCTCCAAGGTATTCAACGAGTTCCAGACGTTCTTATGAAGACGTATCAAGCTGTGAGGAAGAGAATTGTGAAGATCAAATTTAAATAAAAAGCTTGCAAAGAGCGCTAGCAAGATGCAGAAGACACGTTCGACCCCCCTTAAGTGGTAAAATTATTGATCAGTCTGTCCGTTTAAAAGCTATCTTATTCGAACTTGAGATAAATTCTTTTCTTTGTTGGAGGTGGAATTGGCTAATATCGGATAAATGCGATCAATGTATCACTTAGTTTCCAAAGATCGGGCGATAGCAAAGTGGATGTGTGAAAGACATTTTGATTTTCTAAAAAATCCCCCCGTTATGCTCTTAATATTCGGGCAAAATCTTATCAACAACGGACTTCCATATCATTGAGTTTCAATAGGAAGAATTGGTCAGTTTGCAATGATAACCTTTGGCACCGCGAACATAATTGTACTCATTTGTTAAGACTTAGCAACGTACATGGGCCTGCCACCGGAAAGTTTGGTAACCAAATCGAGGAAGAAACCTGGTATGAAATGGAATAGTATAGCACCAAGACGAAACAGCATCAAACTCCTAACCAAGCGCAGATTGGGATACCAGACGGCGCTGTTGAGTGGATAATCATGCAAATAACCATTAATTTTGTCCTTCAAAAACTCGAAACGGAATGGCTTGTATGTGCTTGATGTCAGATGGAAAATCTGCAGCTCTGCGGGACGATCCCCATTCTTCACTCTGCAATGAGATGGAAATGTTAGCTTGCAGAATAAGCCCATGCAATAATACCTACTTAAGCGAATTGACGTAGTAGCCCGTGGTTATAATGCCATTTACCACCACATCGATGGGAATGTAGTCCATAATAATAGTGGGATCGAGTGGTAAACGACGCAAAATGCCCTTGGATGCGCCCATGAAGAAACCCTGTGGTCCATTCTTGGATATGGTCCAGCCAGGTATTGGCTCCTTCCAAGCGGCTGTGACTGCAATGAATCGAAGGCTCTATGATATCAATAGCTTTGTGGTAAATGGTAAAACTTACTCATGCTGGGACGCACAATGCCGCAGGGGAATTGTGAGGCCACATTGGCCACTTCATGCTCTGCCAAATGTTTTGTGAACGTGTAAGTGTTAGGATGATCCTTGAGCAATCTGTAAAACGTATTTAAAATGTATAACCTTCAGTAATTTTAAATACATCAGCAACTTACTTAGGCTCCAACGCTTTAAGCGCCTCATCGTTGAGCGTTTCCGCCAGCTGTATAATCTTTTCTGGATCATCGGGCGAGGGATATAGCTTCTCTTCCACCTCCGTAATGTATGCATTTACATATGCGCTGGAAACATGTACCAGGGCGTCCAAGTGGCGTAGCTGCTTGCATAGTTCCACAACGCGACGTGTGCCACGCAAGTTAATGTTCGTTGTCTCTTTCAGGGATTGAAAAAAGTCAAGGGTGGCAGCTGAGTGGAACACCACGTTCACGTTTTCGATAAGCGTTTCGCGATCCTTTGCTGAAATGCCCAAGTGCTCCAAGCCGACATCGCCCTCAATGGGCACAATCTTGGATAGGCGCGCTTCCAGCTGCAGCTCCTTGAAGCGATCAAACACTGAGTTCTTCTTCAGCTCCTCCAGACGCTCCTGCACACTCTTGCCCTTCTTGGCGCGCATCAGCAGGTACAGAGTGCCCACATTGGGCACATCTCGCAGCAGCTTCTCAACTATGGTGACGCCCACAAAGCCAGTGGCGCCCGTAATAAAAACATTGCGACCCGCATAGAAATCTGCGATGGGCGAGCTGCATGGGTAAAGTTGATTTAGTGAAAATATGATAACTTGTTTATATAACTAACGCTGTTTCATTTATTAACAGATTCTCTTGCATAAGAGGAAAACTTTCCCCACGTTCAATCGTTGCTTTGATTATGACAACAAAATGCGCCTGCGCAGCAGCAAATTCGAGTTAGGAGCGTACAACAAGTTCGTCGCATTTCTCCCAACGTAGTGCTCCAACGTCCAAAGCTCAAAACAAGTTTTTTTTTTATATGGTAATAGCTATGGGATATCATATATGTGAGTTCTAGCTGCTATCGGCTCCAGTGTTTATCCAACTAACGACTACTCCTAGGCGGCCTTTTAACGAGCTGTGGGCGTGTTGATTTTAGCGTACAGAAATAGCGAAAAAATCAATGGCAAAAGTATTATGATATAAGTGGGATCATAGAAGTTCAAACACTTGAAACGATGTGAAAATTTGAAGTACTAATAGGGGAAAAAAATGCCATTAAGCAGCCTAAGATAAAACTAAGCTGTAATAGCTAAGCTGCTATAGAACCAGAAAAAAAGGTAGATTGGGGTTGCAAAAAAAGGCAAACATGTACCTATATTCTATAGCTTGTATCTGGGCTTTTAATATTGTCCAGCATTGACCGGAAGTCAACAAATCAGACTTTGAATCAATGCTGAATATTATCTTTATATCTTGTACACCACTTGTGACTAGATAATAATTTCTACTCTTTTTTTTTTTTACCAAAATCGTGTTTTTCGAGTTAGGTTCAATGTGGGATCGTAGTCTCCTGCGTTTCCTATGCATTAAATATATCGTGACAATATTATAATAACCTCTGCAAGCTCTGGTATAATAACTAGACAAATTCACACAAATGAACATCAAAGTTGCATATGTTAGTAGTAAGTAGGTCATTTAGGTTGTAAGATGCTCTGGATAAGACCCAAGACTTGTGTTTTTTTTTTTTTCAAAACACGCAACAGCAATTTTAATTAGCTAATTTCGAACATCGCTTTGTTTTTGGCCCTAATGATGCTCTAGTCGTTGTTTCTCCAACATGTCTCCGGCTTGTCTACGCTGCGGCTGGACGTGGCAAATGATTTTATAATGAACAAAGCAAATGATTCGTGCGTAATTTGCTTTTTGTTTGTTTGCTTTTTTTTCTTTCTCTATTTATTGTCTATTGGCCCGCAAATGGCAATTGGCTGTTGTGGATGTGTGCAATCTTTAGCTTTAATGGGCACTTGGTCAATTTGCATACTCTGTGCAATTTTGAGGCCCTTCAGTTCAAAGCTCGGCCAGTTGCAGCTGCAGCTGCTGCCACACAATGCAAGCTGCTGCGTCACGGCATAAATTTTGATGTCCACTTCAGATTCGGCTGAAACGCTTCGACTAGCTTGTCAACCAAATGTAGCTTTCACTTTGCGCCACACTCAAGCGACCGCCTGGCAGCTGAACCAAAACTTAATTTGGCACTCACCTGTGCTTCTAACGTGGCAACAACTTAGCATAAATTAAAATTGTTGTTGCGGTTTTGGCTTGGCAAATTTGCAAATTTAATTTTTCGTTTTTTGCCACGCAAGCCCTTAGCCAATTTACTACTAGCTCTTGAGTTTTGTTAACTATTTATTCAATTTTTATTTATTTATTTTTTTTTAACGCTACAGTAAATTGTGTTTTTATCTTGAGTGGCGCAGTGCAGTGATTAGATTTTGGCTGAGGCTTTCAAGCTTGGCCAAGTGGAACACTTATCTATAGCAATTAATTGTGGGCGCTATAAATGGAACAAGTGCCCAGGCTGCCACTAGAAGTTTGATTTATGCAAACAGGTCAGTTATGTGGCATAGTTCCATAAGACCATTTATATAGTTTACAAATCGGCAGCTTAAAAATCGTAACTCTACGCCACCAAGTCATGCCGGGTAGTATTTATGGATATATTTTACGTCTAAAAATAGTTTTGATCAATTCAATTTTAATTCTAGGTTCGTACATCAACAGGAGCCGCTATTAACTGAACAACCGTCTGGACAGAACCGACCTTGTTGCCGGCCATAGAGACGGTCATTAATTGCTATTTGTGGGCATAATTGCTGGTAATGGAGCTTGTTTTGACTGGGCATCCATTGGGATTGGGCACCATTGGGTTTGGCGTGTTTTGTATTTTTCCACTAGAGTTCCTGCTTCATATATCAACAACGCCTCCAAGCAGCTTGAGGGTCTATCGAGATAGAGATATAGAGAGTGGAGAGAGAGAGAGAGAGAGAGAGAGATAGAGAGAGAGAGATGCTGGCAGAGCAACCAGTTCTCGCCATTCAGAGTGCAGCAGATGATATATGTACATAATATCAAGAGCTTGCGCTTTAGGTGTTGCGCAGGTCAAAGTTTAAGAGGCGTATGGAATGCGAGAAAAATTAACTTTCAATTTGTTCAACAAATTCACGCTTCAGCTAAGTGCATGTTAACAATTTGAGAAAGCATATTGGTGTTTTAAAATATTTTGGGCATTACACTTAAAGTCAAAATGGGATATTATTAATATTAGTTATGAAACTGTTCTAGACTACAAATAAAATGATGATTGAAGAAAAATATGTGTGTGTTTCTTTATGGCACTAATAGAATTTAATATGGTTTTGCTTGTGAGAGATATTTTATGTAAGCTATCAGCCACATGCATATGTATATTAAGAAACTCTCTAAAAATGTAGACTGCGAGCAGCTGTTAGGGTATTTATAGCTTTAAAACTTCGAAGATTGAAATTTGCTGTTGTGATTTTGGCAAACAGCTCTGAACTTTGCACCACATGTTTAAATTAACAAGCAGAAACCCTGTAACACACACAGCCACATACACACACACACACACACACACACACATGCTGATAAAAGCTGTCAAACTAGCCAGAGGTATTTGTTAGATGATGCCCTATTGTGCAAGTCCATGTCCAAATATGCTTACCTGGCCATTGTAATCAAGCAGCTGTTGATTGAATCGAGGTGAATATTAAGTTCAATGTGTTATATCGTCTGTACAAATCGATCTATCGCAGCAAAAATGTACCAAATTTCTCTTTTTTTCGTTGCCTCTAAACTTAGCTTCTTTTAACGTTGCTTCTTCCTCTTTTCACTTGGTTGTTTGTTTTAGCGCTGTTGCTGCGGGTAGTAAACAATATGCGCGCATACATGCAAACACACAATATATATGTGTGTATATGTATCTGTGAACAGTTACGTTGGCTTGTGTATGGGTGGGTAGCTGTGCTCGTTAGGAACTCTTCGTGGAGCGCGCGCTCACTACTCACAACTTGCACGTTTGCCGGCCGAAGCGAAACTGTTTCATCGGCTCGCGTTGATCGCGTCTCGTGTCTCTCGGTACGCCAATGATCAGCATTATGATCACAATCGTCATTATCGTGTTCAGCCCCAAACCAGTTATGCAGTGGCGTATATAGCAGGGGGATTAGCCAGCTATTCTTGCTCAACCGTAACGGTTCTTTATTAACATAACTCAGTTGCGAATTTCAAATAAATTGAAAATAAATAGAATAATTTTAATTTTTAAATCAAGATATTATTTTTCATTAACTTTGGGCACAATAGCATTTTCCAAGCAGACTGTTTTAAATAACAGATTATGTTAATTATTGCCAGCCAAAAGCTTTAAAGAAAAAAAAAGATTAGCTGCATGGATCGTAGCATACTTTGGGGCTGACATTGAAAACCAACTTAGAAACAAAAATTTAAATAGCCTTTCATAAGTTCTATGTAAATACCTTAAAAAGGCGTCCAAGCAGGGACAAAACTATGAACCATAAAATAAAATTAGAATATGTAGAGCAAAGTTAACCCTTTGTATGTTTTAGATTTTCTTATAAGGTATGTAACACACGGCACGGCATTTAACTTTTGGCGCGCCGGAGATTAGAAATCGAATCCGAAATTCATAAATTTCTCTATTTTTTCTAGTGTTTCACCATTTATTGACGAGAATTTTCGTGTCGATGAAAAGAGAGAGAAAGAGAGTTCTTTCAGGCAAGTGCTAGGTATGCTTTGGAACATAAAAAAGTCGAGTATAATTTAGCTTAATATTTATGATTGTCATATTTATTTCTTTAATAGTTTACATAGTTAATATTTTATCATTACCATTTTGTTTCGTAATTTACAAGTGCACAAACATTTGACTATTTGACTATATACCAGGACTATTTGTTTTAATGTGACTACGTTTTGAGCTAAGTTTTAAGCTTGTTTACATTGCAGTGTGTATTGATTGATTTGTTTATTCGATTTTTACTATACTCGCATTTGCAATTGACTTGTACTCAAGTGTGAGAACTTAAAGTAAAAATACATGATATATCCTATGAAGAACAATTACAACGATGAAGACGACTGAGTTGAAGGCGTGAAAGGCTATTTTGGACTGAATATTGCACAATATGAGCGAACAGGATCCACTCATAGCGAGCCCTACAACCAGACCAGGAAGCCCCAAACGAGGACAGCCAACGTCAGGCCCACTGGGAGGCCCAGGAAAGGCGTCAGCGCAAAGTAGAGAATTGCAAAGATCGCTACAAAGCCGGCATAGTACAGGACGTTGAAGCTGAAATTGAGGCCAATTAGATGAGGATCTAGAAAATTTAGATTATAAACACTTACACCTTCCAATAGTTGCGATGCCACTGTGTGGTCACCGCCGACTCCTTGAAGTAGAAGCGTCTAATGCCGATCAGGCAGCGATCGATAAACTCTGACCAATCACAGCGGCTGGCATCAAAGTTGTAGCGTTTGCGATCGCTGTCATGGATCAGTGAGGAGACGCGCAGGGCATTCTTCATGGAATACCGGAAATCCTTGTCCAGGAAATAATCAAATGCCTTGGTGCCATTCTGGAATACGCGCATGTACTCGTAGGCGCTGCGGAATTTAAATATGGGATTATCTAGAGTTCACATTTGGAGATGGGTGTCCACCTACGTGTGCTGCGGCATGCCAATGCCAAAGAGCTTCTCCGGTATATAGAAGATCATAGCGGGTAGCAGATGAAACAAATAGAAGAACAGATTATAGCGCCAGCCATTGCGCAGCTTCGTCTTTGGTTTCCACACAAAGCTGTTGGGCGGATGACGTTCCACGCTGTCGTTGATTATGTTGCAGAATTGCGAAAGTGTCAGCGGATTCACCTCGCCCGATGTACAGTGTATTATCTCGGGCTTATCCACATGACGTGTGCCCACATACCAGCCCATGACCAGGGAGCTGTTGATCACATAGTCACATGGTATGATGTCAATAACGGCATTTGCACGGCCGGACATGGTGCGAAAGATGCCCTTGACAAATCCGGCCAGGAAACCCAAATGCCCCGAATTGGCATTGCCCACCCAGCCCTTCATGGGGTGCTCCAGTGTGCCATAAACTGTGAATGGGACATAGTTGATTCTTAATGGAAGTTTCGTTGGTAGCTGGACTCACCTATAGATGGCCTAACTATGGCTGCCGGCAGACCGGACATCTCCGCCATGAGCAGATTCTCCGACAGATTCTTGGTAAACGTATACGTATTGGGATGATCCTTGAGGTAGCTTTTGCACTTCTGCTGCGTGAAATCCAGCCAGGCCTCTTCGTTCTCCGCCATTTTCATCATCTCGTATGGATCGAACTGTGACTTGTACACATCTTCGGTGATCAGGCCACGATTGTTGCTATTGCAAAAGGCCGTCGAGCAGTAGATGTAAGCGGACAGCTGCTTCAGCTGTTTGGCCAGCTCAATGGTTCGCATGGTGCCCGTCAGATTCGTGAATATAGCCGTGCGCAAAGGAGAATTGAACCTGATCGTGGCGGCACTATGATAGATCACATTCACACGCTCGATCAGTTCCTGTAGCAGATCGTTGCCAAAGCCAAAGTTCGGCTCGGTCAGCTCCCCCACGACTGGCACGACCTTGGCCAGCGTTTTCTCATTGTACTTTTGGAAGATCTGTTGGTTGAGAAGATACAGATGAGAATCTCTTGGGCAGATTGTGTAGCGAAAAACTGAACACGAAGCTTATAGTTGGAGTTGAAGAGCCCTAAAAATGTTCCCTTAATACGAATTTGATCAATTTTATTTTTATGAAATTGCGACAGTCTAAAAATATATCGAAATACCATAAAACTGAGCAATGCTTGAATGCTTGTCTCTGCTCCTAAATAATTGGGCCTACGCCTCACACAGAAATAAAAACTCTCTGTACTCCGAAAAGAAACTGGAACTTTCATTAAATTAATAATAACACGCTTTATGTTTGGAGTATGCTTAAGAGTGTGTAAAATAGTAAAATAAAAAAGAAACAAAGTACATTTTGTTATTACGCTATTAAAAGCGCCTTTAAAATTATAATGATGAAAAGAGTGTCAAGAGATCTGGCCAAAAAGACATGCGCATCTGCATATGTTATGTGGTACTCAGATATGCGGCTATTACAATTGTTGGCATTACAAAGAGCCGCTAAAGAGGCTTGCTAAGGGGCCGGAGCGGAAGACACTTCAGCTTCGACAAATTAACGCACCATTAAGGCGGCCGTAATTGTCTTGAATAATGGACCCGGGTCGAAATGGGTCAGCCTACGGTCAAAAGTTGTCGGAGGTGTGGCAAGGGTTGTGCTTCGACGAAGTTTAGTGATTTTTTTTTATATATATATCTAACACTCACCGGCTTCTGGAGCAAGCGATTGATGCGCTCGTTGGGATCGAAGTTGCGTTTGCCACGCACCAGCACATAGATGGTGCCGATATCGGGATGTGTGTCCAGCAGCGCCTCGATGAGAACGGTGCCCAGAAATCCGGTGCCGCCGGTTACAAAAATGTTTTTGTGCGCAAAAAATTCGGGCACTGTCAGGGCGGTGCTTAGCTGACGCTGGCTGCTGTGCGGCGATTCAGTTCCAGCTTTGCTGATCCCGATTTTACTATTGTTGTTAATGATGTTGTTGTGATTGCTGTTGCCATGCTCCGTTATGACGGCCATGGTGTAGGGCTCTAGATTTGTGGGTGGCGCCAACTTGCTGCTGGATTTGTCTACTGTTGCACGCTGAAAGTTATAAAAACAATTAATTTAACATGAGTCTTCCTTCATTTTGGTTGGGAAGTGCGAATATAAAAGTGCAATATTCCTTATATATATACGTCATATTACCTACCGTTTGTTGCATAAAGCTCTTATAAGAGCTGAGCTATGCCTCAAAAACCAAGTCTCAAAATTGATTTTGATCGATATTATCAACTATCGATTTTATTGATATAATTGAAAATCGTTTTTTATCGCTATTGTAAATATCATGTTTTATCGATATTGCTAAATGTCAATATTATCGATATTGTAAAATTTCGACTTTTACCGATAATATTAAATATCGACTTGCATCGATATACTGGAAAATCGCTTTTTATGGATGTTCTACAAATTATTAATTCTTTTTGCGTATGTTATACGTATTATTTATAAAAAATTGACTTTAAACGATTTTTTTTACAGCTTTGAGTATCCAGCTTTCTCTAAAAATCAAATTTGATCGATATTATGGAATCGATTCTTTTTCGATATATCTTTCACAAAATTATTTTCTACAAAATTCTGTATATCTACATTTTCGTTTTGTAAGTGATAGGGATTAAATACTTATGCATAGTTTATAATTTAATTTAGGATTTATATTAGTTAATTAGATACTCAAGTTCACTAAGCAGGCCTTGAAATGTGCCTCTATTGCTTGTCTAAGTTGAAGGCGTATTGTATTTCGAGTTGTACAGTTAATCAGATCTGTTATTATTTGTTCAGCTCCCGGGGAATACAGTTCACAAAATTTTGGTTTTTACTTTTTGGAAAATATTATATACAAAAACAAATAACAAACAAAAGTTTTTCAAAATTCAACGAACCCAAAAAGCTGCAGTGATAGTCCCTGAACAAGAAAAATGAATGTGGCAAAGAGTCTGAAGCAGTGCGCGCGTGCTATGCGGCAGCGCGGCTGGCGAAGAATACCGCAGGATATTCAGGTGGGTTGTGTAGGTTTGGATCAGCGGCGCAATTATCAGGATGATTCCCACGACTGGTCGTCGAAGCGGGGCGAGGATGCGGGTGTGCAGATGAAGAATGTGTATGGTGAGGACAGGCGTTTCGATCCGCGTTACGATGATCGCCACTACAAGAGCTACTATCGCGGTGAAAACTACGATATGGTTGATGGTAGCACAAAGAGCGTACCCAGCAGTCCCAAGGATCCAGAATCAAGACGTCGCATCACGCAAGACACAATGGATCATCAGCGACGCCAGGAGCGCATCATTCAAGAAAACAAAATCAGGTGGCAGCAACGTTCAGAGCCTAAAACGCCTGTGTCGCAATACACACACCACACATTTTTCTCCGCTGAAAATCCTCGCAAGCCTAGCAAGCAGGAAAGCGAGGACCAGACTGCCGAGGAATACAGTCGTCGTCGTCGCCAGCAGCGCCTGAAGGAGGCGAAGGAACAGGAGCGCGAGTTGCGCGAATCGCGCAAGGGCTATAAAATACCCAAATCTGAGGATGAGCAAGGTCCACCTGAGAATTTGGATACCCGTTATGCTAGCGAGGCTTGGCTGGAGAAACGCGATCAGGAGGATGAGGCCCAATACTGGCACACCTGGACCACTTGCCCCGAAGAGCGCCGAGGTAAAGAAATGGCGAAGCACGAAGCTGCTGAAGACGAGGAGGATGAAGGTGCACCCAAATACAACCCCAGCGAGCGTCGCGGTTTCGTTAAGCCGACTCTGCCCTATGACAGCAGTGTGCGCCGCTTTCAGACCCACTCCTTGCAGCTGGCTGAGAATGACGTGCCACCCATGGAGCCGCCACAGCATGCTGCTAAGGATCAAGGACAACCTAAGCGCCGTCGGCCCAGTGGGATGGAGAAGCAATTTCTGCTGGCCCGGGATTTCAATCGTTTGAATTTCGTTAAAGATGATACCACCAATCGACCATCATCCTTGTTGCAGTCGCACGTGTTCAATTTGCCAAGGACGGTCTATGCCGAGGAGAAGCGTCGAGAAGAGCTGAAGGATATCGAGCTGCCCGAGCAGCCGCCGCGCAGAAAGCTAGCCTGGCAGGGCCTGCCACGACCTGTCTACAAGCGGTTTGATGGCGTCAATCGCGCAATTGCTCGCAACGATCAGGTCCAGCGCAAGAAATGTAGAAAGTGCGTGGAGCCTCCACGTTTCCGGATGACCGTCAAAAGCAAAACGCTGAGCCGCAAGCCAACGCCCATTGATAGCTTTTCCAGCTTGTTGGCTGTCAGCACAAACTACACACCGCACAGCGAATACACTGGCTACGGCCGTCAGACTGTCTGCGATGCTTGGCAAAACTTCACTAATGTGCATAACCTAAAGCCAATTTACTGAAGAGCCCGGGGATAAAGTGATGGGTATTTTAACAGCGCGGTTAGAAATGATAAACAAACAACAGGTAGAAAGATTATTAATTGTGATAGTTTATACTTGAATCAACGATTTATCGAAGTTTGTAGTGTCATTTCAACGATTATAAAATTTATTTGCGTATGGAGAAATAAATTTAAACGTTGCACTTTTGGGAAACCGAAATTGTGTACAAATTCTCTGTATGAATTTGAACCACCGCTCTTTCACTTGGCAAGGGAACCGTCTCTATTCAACAGCTACACCAATAGTTGAGTTTATTTGAGAAACGAATTATAATAGCAGCACATAAAACAATCGAAATTCAATGTTAATAGAATTCGAAGCAGACGCGCATGAATGTGCAACTCTAGCTGTTATATTTACCAAAAATAGCATATCGATATCGATTTCTTTCGAATGCTTAGAAATGGAGCGAGTTATCGGTTATCTATCTGCGCATAGACTAGGAGGACCTACATCTGAAATTAGATTATTTAGATTATCGGAAAGAAACTTGATCTGCGCGGGAACTAGGAGCATCTAAATCTAAAATTTCACTAAATTTCAAGTTTCTAGCTCTTATTGGTTCTGAGATCCTTGCGTTCATACATACGGACGGACGGACGGACGGACAGACGGACATGGCAAGATGGATCAAGAATATATTTACTTTATGGGGTTGGAGACGCTTCCTTCTGCCTGTTACATACATTTGCACAAATACATTATAACCTTTTTAACCATTCTAAATGGGTTCAGCGTATAAAAATTGAGTAAAAATTCTTTGTGGAAATAGTTGCTGAATTAGAGTCAGCGATATTTCGCTGGTTAGTTCGATGCTCGGTACCCGAAAACTTCTCTCCTATTTAGTCGCATATTCCAAAGCCCTGTTTTGCTAACTAAAAAGAAGCTTTAGTAAGAATTTTAGGACAGACTTTCATATATGTACATATAGATAGTTTGATAATCTTGGTAGTTAACAAATTGCGCGTGCTAGCCGCAGTCCTTCATCGAATTAGTGGCTAATTACGCGAATATGTGTAATATACAAAACCAAGCCACATGCTGTAAATCTGTGTGCCGCACACGAATTTTTTATTTTTTCGTTTTTTTTTTGTGGTTGCCTAAGGTCCCAGGCGTATTGTGGCCAATAACTGCCCAGCCATTTTGAGATTAATTTTGATCATTTTCTGTGATTTGTTCAACGCGTGAATTTGTGTCAAGGCCGCGTTGAAAAGTAGCTCGAATAGTATAAAAGATTTAAAAATTGTTGAATTTGACGCTAGTCGAATTGTTGATTATTTTATCATTTTATATATATACGATTTTTTTTTTTTTGATTTTTTGTAAGACCTGCAACTTAAGATGCACGGTCAGGGCCAAGTTTCTTTTTGATTTCCAGCTTGTGCGCAGCGATAAGCTAATGCCCCAGATAATATCTCGAATCGTTTGATTTTTGGTTTCCTCAGTTTTTGACAACCTGACGCTAATTAAACATGTCTAGCATTTTAATAGTTTTCGTAATTGCGGTTTTCATTTGTTTTGTAATTAATTAGCCAACCGATTTCAAGGGGCGTGCTTGGCGAATTGCAGGCCACAACAATAGCCTTCGCTTACTTTTCAATTTTCACATATGAAAAGCCGTCAAAAATTAATTTTTTACCCAACTGATTGGCTAATTGACCAATGACTCGGTTTAAATACTTTATTTTGGTTTTTTTTTTTTTTCAAGGCACTTCAAATGTTGACATTGAGCTGAGAATTATGTAAACTAAGGTTTCTCGGTGCATTATTGAATTGCTAACTAAGATCTCGCACAAAATGCCGCATCATGCTCTAGGTTCAAACTGTATTCATTGCCCACAAACTGGTTTCGTTCGCAGCGACCAATGAAACTCTATGTGGACTAGGTCTTGGGCAATATCAGCATAATTTTATCTGACCTAAGGCGCCATGTTTTATATGTGCTATCGGTTAAGCTCAAAGTCAATGAACTGTATGGCAAACCGTTGCTCAAAGCTTTATATATAGAATGCCTGAAAGATTTTTTTTCTTCACTATTTTATGAGTTTATTGAAGTTTTTATTAGATGCTGAGTTGATTATTTTTGGATTGGGAAAACCTTATTTTAGTAAGTGAGGTTTGGTACTAAAAACACGTAGAAACTTTGGGAGCGAAATAAGAAAGTTTATTGGTTGAAATTTCCCGGCATTGCTCGGCTCAAATCAATAATGTTGAAATGCCAGTGGTCAAGCGACAGCTTTGGACTTATTAAAGAAACATACATTTTCTAATTTAAATATTTAAGAAAAATATATTCTGTCTGTCATCTTCTACCATACTTTCATATGGACAGCATTGTAGTTAATAAAACAACGCAATCAAATCAAAATTATTAGTTTTAATTGCTGATAACGATTCTTTTTTTCATTATTGATATTATCACTGCTCTACATTTGAACCGCCGATCCCTAGAAACTTATGAACAGATTTAAGGTTAGCAATTCTTATTGCGTTTGAATTGTAAGGTCTGCTTGATTTGGCTTAACTTTGCAGGGCCTTCATTGTTTCAATGCACTTTCCAGAGTTTGCATTATATTGTATTCCAGCAAAGTCTCAGAAGATTCGCATTAATGCATTCATCACAGCCGAAATGGCAATGAAGCGTAGGAATTGTAAACGATTTGTTTTCGGGCAGGGCAAACTCTACTTATGCCCAGTATATGGATAAGCCCGTAAATGCGCGTGTGCATCTGCCTATATATATATATATGAATATATATAGGTGTGTATACATATCTGTGCATCCGCTTAAATATATATACAAAAGCCCATGTGTCTGGTAAATTTTTCAAGATTTGCATAATTTTGCTACGTTTGCGTTTCGCTTGCTAATTTTGTTTTAACAAAATGACAGAGCGTCGGAGTCGCTGAGTATCTGTATCTATGGCCAACTGCGGGTATCTATGGGCAACAATGTGTTCGAATGTGCGAGAGAGCAAAATCGTTTATGCATATTAAATCTTTTGAAATTTCTTTCAGTCACATACACAGACACACACGCGTCTATGTGTTTAGCCATTTGACCTATTTCGTAAATGCAACAACAATCAGCAAACAGCAAACAGCAAACACACAAAACAACAAACGAACACTGTCTGAAAGCGTTTTGGTAACGTTTGTAAGGGCTGGCAAAAATTTAAGAAAAAAATCTGTGACGAATTTATAAAAAAACATACAAAAAAAAAAAACGCCAAACACATTTTATGGACACTTTCTATTTAACGATGCAAGATCTCTCTGTCAACATGAATCTCACATTTTTGGGCTTTATTATAAGTGGTTTATATATTTATCGATATATTTCGATATATTTGAAATTCGCAGCTTCCGGCATAGCAACAAAATGTGTAACAATTTGATTGTGTATGCAACGCATCGCGTTGGCTGAACTTGATAGCCGTTTTTGGGGGCGAGTCGTCATAAACAAAGCGTCAGCAACAACAAAAATAACAACAATTGCTTTTTTATAGTGCGTATTAAGTGCGCGCACTTTACTTTCGGGGCTGGGTCTTTGTTTCAGCTGTTGCCGCCTTTGGCTGTTGTTGTTGTTGTTGTTGTTACTGGCATTTGCATATTGTTGTCAGACCTTAACATTGAAACTACAAACGCTTGACGGGTTCAATCAAATTGTTGTCTGTTTGTCTGTGTGCTCGCATAATTGATGCTTTCAATGTCGCGTGCAAACTTGTCTAAATCAAAAGACTTAGGCAACGAACTTGCCGCGCCTCATTGAATATACCTTCCGCCAACGGGTGTGAAAAAGCGGCAGATACTCGAGCAATTCGCACTTTATTTCTATTTTTTTTTTTAATGAATTTTTTTTTTCGTTGAACAAATTGACAATGGGATTTTGCTGTTTCGGGCTGCTGCCAAGTCAAAAGAAATTATAAATAAATAAAACACAGTTAAATGGACATTTTGGCCAACCGGTTTGTGGCATCATAAAAAAAAAGTAGCCGTCGGGCAGAAATTAAATAAATCATATAAAACAAAATTGGCCACGCAGTCGAAAAAAATGTCGACAGAAATTGTGCGGCGCAGGCCAAAACGGAAAACCGAATAACCGAATAACCGAAAAGCCCGAAACCTTCAAATAAAATAAAATGCCCAAACAACGCCAATGAATTTTCCAGCAAGAGCGCGCAAAACGTGAAAAACAAACCAACTCTGACTTGCGACGCGAAAAACTCTACACACACACACACACATACACACACAGCAGACACAACCACGCACACACCTGTCGCAAAGTTAAAACAAAACACAAACAACAATTGAAAATTGCCTTAACAGGTAAAGTGAAAAGGCAGCGTGTCAATAGAAGAGCAAGTCAAGTCAACAGAGCACAGTAGATCAATAGATCAGCTAATTTCCTGGTGTCAAATATTTTCAAAAATAAAATAACAGAATAACTCTGCGCACAGATTTGATGTGGGGCGTGGGGGCGAGGAAGCGGCGGCGGCTTTCGTCAGAGCGCTTCCGTTTCGCATTGATTTAGTTAACGTTTGGCAATCGATTCTCAATGCGATATCGAAAAATGTATTTTTTGTTTAGCACAATTTGGCAAGCACATGTATTCAAGGCTTTAACGAGAGACGCGAGTTTCACTTGATTTCATTAAATTACTTTTTATATATACAGTGTACAACAAATTTGTGGCGTAAACTAACCAAAAAATTTGGATTCAATCAAAATCCAAATAACAACAATTTTCTGTTGTTGTCGTGACGGCTTCACAAATATCGCTGTAGAAGAAGTTGCTGCCAATGCCGACGCACGCTCAACTCGAACTGAAACCGAAACCGAAACTGAAACTGACTGAAACTGAGCGCAGCGGCATCGACATGAGGAAATTTTAAATACCCGCCAGGCAGGCAGTGAAAAATATAAAAAAAAGCAACAACAAGCGTCAGCAACAACAACACAAAAACACGAAGACGTCCGCATGGCGAACGAAACCACGTAATGAAAATCGGAACACTAAATAATAAGCTCAAAAAAGCCAAGTGAGCGAGCGCGACAGACTAAGAGAGCGCGAGAGTGAGAGAGAGTGAAAGAGAGAAAATCACAAAACCAAACGCAAACGCAGCAAATAATAAGTTGTCTGATCGGAATTGAACGACTAGCAGATACCCTAAACACAGCCTTGGCTTTGATTAGCTTCGCTGCTCGTTTTCTGCTCTATAGGAAAATTATCTTAAATTTGATATCCTGATGTGTTTAAATTACCTAAATACCTATAATAATAATAATCTCTAGCTTTTATAAGCTTCTAGATATAGTCAATAAATAGTATTTCGATTATGATTATTATCGATGATTTGAAACGATTTGAAGCTGCGTCGATGGGAACAATGGGATCGTAAGTGCCTTTTTCTTCTGCTACATACACATGCACAAGACCCATAGCCGATTTTTGATAATTGGCTCGGCGTATTTCGATAACGATTATTATCGAGTTCACATAGTTAAGTGATTTAAGATGATTTGAAGCGATTTGAATCTGTGTCGATGCCTCTTCCGCCTGTTACATACAATTGTACAATGCAAATAGACAAATTTTCAAGAAAGAGATAAGCGTATATCGATATCGATTCTTATCGAATTCCCAGGAATAGGCTGACTTATCGAGGATTTGAAGTATTCTGAATCTGTGCAGATGACGATGATGCTGGGATCGCAGGTGCCTTCTGCTGCCTGTTACATACATATGCCCAGAACCAATAGACCCATTTTCAAGGGGCTATAATAAAACTTGAGAGCCAAGATCAGAGACCAGAGCCAAAATAGCTATCAAAGAGCTTTGAGCAGCTACAACAACAACACTTGAAAGTACCGCTACGTTGCGCTCGTAATTTGTTGGTTAGTGAGAAAGCTGGAGATCTCATGTTTATCTTTATCTCCGTAGCCGTATCTATTACGAGAGTGCGTTTAGCTTTTGTGCAGCTTGCTTAACGCATTTGAGTGTGTTTATTTGAGGCCATTAAATGTTTCACTCATCGTCTTGAGCCACTTTTATGATGCACAAAACAAATCATTGATCAAATGAACTGCTTTTGTACCAAGCCATTTAAATGCAAATGACTGAATTAATATTTATGAATTTAAGCCATAATAACAAGTGTTGCCAAAAACAAAAGTAAGCCAAGCAAACAAACTAAATCATTTATAAATGTTTTCATATGATTTTCTCTTCCTTTTGGCTTAGCTGTTCTAGTCAGCAGTTTCCATATGGTTACCTGAGAATATAATCCAAAAACAGCTTTCGAAATGGAGGCGACTGCGAGGCCAATTCAATTTCAGTTGTTGCTCGTTTTAACCACATTCTGCCAACGATTGCATTTTCCCGCTTAAACGCAATTCTTGCTGATTTAATTGGTGTCAATGATATCAATGCTTATTTGTTTCTAGAGAGAACTAGAAATGGGGCAAACGTGTGAGTCAACAACAACTCAGATATCGAATGCAATTAATTCCCTAATAGATTTCTATGAAATGTAATACGATCAACTCGTGAACCCTAGTTGTTTTTATGGCGCAGCAAATCTATTGCCAAAGCCAACTTAGTTGTCTCTCAATTGTAAATGACCTAAAAAAAAGAAGCCCACACGGCTGTAAGTTTCCCGTTAAAGCCCCAAACAAAGGTTACACTCGAGCCAGCAGTTGCGTATTTTATGATCTTTGTGGAATATGGACAAAAGAAATGCCTAAAATAAAATTTGACAGTAATTTGTGCGACACGCAAAAGAAAGAAAGTGGGCGGGTCGAAAGTGTGTAGGTGGTTGTGCGTGTGTGTGGGCTGGAAGTGTTTGTCTGCGGCTCAGCGTGCTTTCAATTATGATTTATGCAAGGCCGTTCGAAACGAACATGCAGTTGGGTCACAAAAACATAAAACAGTTGAAGGAAAATATCTAAAATCGATGAATTATATAAGCCGAAAAAAGAGCGGTTGATTTAACAGACTCATGTACTTATGGAATTTCCGTCTAATATTTAAGTTCGTTTGTCCATACGAAACCTTTAATTATTTTCTGCAATTAGTTAGAATAAGAAAACTTTCCAGCCATATTTATTTTTAACCGACTGCATTTTTAATTTGATAGGTACTTGTAATTTTAATTGGTGGAATCGATGACTATGCGGTAGGATTTGTTGTTAACTTTGTATTCGTGATTATTTTTTAATTTATGCTAATGATAATAACAGCAAATTTCTAATTAGCATAATTTGTATTGATTGCTTGAATTCTTGGGTACTTTATCTTAGAATAAGATTCGCACAAAGCGGCGCGTTTGTGATAGGTAACAGTCTTATGTTAACCTAAACAAACGCATTTCCGTTAATATCTCATTCACGAGCATCTTCACATTCTGGCCTATATCTAATCAAAAGGCCCATAACAAACCGCACATTAGCCATATAATTAACATTCATTTACGTTTGAGTGGCCATTTCGAAAATGCATTTCAATACCAAAGCCGAGCACTAAAACCCTCATGATTTTATCGAGTTTCCAGCTAGTCACCCGGCACTTGCCAGCTTGTCTCGCTGTTTGTTAACAGCTCTTGCTAACTGGCGACCACTTGTGGGGCTCAGCAGCGACTTTTTGCCGCGTCACGTCTTCAAGTGGAGCTTGCACTTGGATCTGCGACACACACACACACACACACACAGGCGAGGGCTGGCGTCATTGTCGTAGACGACGTCACACAAGGCGCATGAGTAATGAGTTTAACTTTTGTTATTTGCTTTATCAGTTGCTTGATACTAAAAATCTCATTAAAAGTCGCCTGAATTTTTAATATTATTTAAAAAACAAATTTTAGTTTTAAGCTAATTTTCTCAGTTGTGAAAACGTTAAAAGAAAACTAGGTGTATATTAATGTACCTCATAAAATATCATATTTATGTCCAAGAATTATATTAATTATATTCAAAATAACTTTGCAATAACTAAAAGTGCATTATAATATTATAACTGCATAAATAATATATATTACAGGGTATGCAAGCAGCGTGTTTAATCATTCGTTTTATATGTTGTTTGGCTTTGTTTTAACTAAATGGAAATTGATTATTATGCGTAGTGGACCATAAAGCCGAGACTCGAAAGCTCAGAGCGATGACAATGCACTTATCATCGCCTGGAATGCGACCTTCGGGATTGTCCAAATATTTAATTGTTGAAGGTTGGCGGCTTTGTTGACTTACATAGCAGATTAATTGAAATTGATGACAGATTTCAGATTTATGTGTGTATCTGTGGTGTATTGTTTATTTGTTTTGTTTTGTTTTTCATTTTTCTGAACTGCTTTTAAGTGAATTTGAATGATTTTGGTATTTTAAGGTATAATATATCAGCATGCGCAGCGCTGAGGCTATGCTGTTATGCTGTGGCAACGCTGGCGGATACTGCTTGATGGCAGATGGCAACGCTGGCTGGTGTGACAAATTTGAAACTCAGCATGCGCCAAAAGTTTTGTAACGTTAAGATATGAGTACTATATCGTACAAAAAGTCGTAGGCAAAAACAAAATTTCTTTTGCTCTCGTCTCGTATAATTTTTATGTTCTCTATTCTCGGGCTGCTGAAAAACGCATGCGCTGGCAGCAACAACAACGACAACAAAAGCTCGAAAAGTGTATTTCATTCAATAGGAAAACCTCAGACGACGGTGGTGGAAAAACCAGGCAAGGCGAACGCAAAACGGAAGCGACGAGCACTGCGCAAACTGCGCAAACCACGAGCCAGCAAACAAACAAAAAAAAAAAAGGAAGAAAAAAAGCAACGACAACAACGACAACAACGACAACAAGAACAAGGGTGAAAGGGTGTGCATGTTTTGTTGTTGGGCCAAAACTCACCACCGGGGCGCGAAAAGAGGGTGGAGTTGCCCTCAGTGAGTGAGCGCGTGTGCTTGTGCCTGTCATTGTGTTTGTGTGTGCTTGTGTATGTGCGCGCAGCCGCCAGCCCCCGTGAATTTGCTTGGTGAAATTTTGCTGGCGGCCCGGTTTTGCGGCCCAGCAGTTGCCCAGTCGCCCAGTTGCCTGTCGCCAGTCGCTAGTCGCATTTCGAGCTGTGCTGCTCAAGCGCCTGCCGCCACACCACACACAAAAAGTTAAGAGCAACTAGCAACAAAACAGCAACACCAACACCAATAGCAACACCAACAGCAATAACAACAACAACAAATACGCGTCTTCTACAACATTCCCACGATATCCCCTCCCGCAGCCGGAAACTGGGCAGGGCGCTGTTTTTCAAAATTCTTAAACGTGTGTCGCGTGTGAAATTTGTGTGTGTGTCTCTTGTTTTGAGAAAGAATAAGTTAAGAAAAAAAAAGCAGCTGTAAGAAACAAGTGAATTCTTCTGCATTACCATCAACCACCAGCACCACCACCACCACCACCACCACAAACAGCAACAACAACAACAACACCAGCACAGCCAATTCATCAACCAACTCAGTTCAGTTCAGTTCAGCTCAGCTCAGCGCCAGGCAGCATCCAGCGACGATTCCAACCTCACTTTTGTGCCGGTATGTACAACGCCCCTGGCTCCAGAGCCCCATTGTAGGACGCTCCACCCGATACTCCCATCACCCCCCCAAAAAAAAAAACTTTTTTGGTATTTATAGTGCATAATTATGTGCCCGTTTGTTGTCAAATTTGTGGCCAGCTAAAACTTACAGCAGGCATTTATTTTTAGAGCCTCGAGACACCTTTGCAGCACGCCCCACACACACACACACACACACAAACACTCGGACAGGCACCCGCAGCGAGAGAGTGTGAATGAGCATTGTGGGCGGGGGGTAGAGTGCATGAGTTTTCTGACTGAATGTATGTCGCTGGGTTTATTATCTCATCGACAATGCCGATGTCGCTATTGGAAACGGCGGCGGCGGTCATAAAAAATTTAGCGCAAAATCTGACATTTCCGCTGCTGGTTTCCGCAAACAGCAGCAGCCAAAGAGAGCGAGAGTAGCAGAGACAGAGAGAAAGAGAGAGAGAGAGAGAGAGAGCGAGAGCAAATAAGAGCAACAGCAGCAGCTTCTTCAGCCTCTGTGTGCAGTGTTGTCGTGCTGCGCTCATTTAAGGCCTCCGACAAAAAGTATGTGACAAAAAATTGTTAACAAAAAGAAAAACAATTGTGCCAGCCTTTGAAAGAAGCGCGCTAAAAATCACTTTCAGTTTTAAATATCCATACATAACAGAACACTTTGTGCTGCAATTAGTTTATCTGCTGCTGCGATTAGATATGTCTGGCAGATAGCGCAGCGAATCAATCAATATAGATAGCACATGAGTGAATATATTATATAACAGACAGTTTTTGGTAGCCACCCTTGCGGCGCGCACCAAAAGCCGGCAGCAACGGCCGTACGTAGTACGCTGCTGCAAATTGGGAGCAACCAAAAATTGTAGCAGTAAAAAAATTAGTAGTAACTGGGGCCAGCTGCGCGAGAGCGACTCTCCGTGTGGGTGTAAATGAGTGTATGTGTGTGTGAGTGTGTTGGTGAGAGCAGGCGCGTGAAAAATCTTACAAAGAAAAGGAGCAGTAAAAAGACTACAAAATAAAACAGGCAGTTTCCCAATTGATTTTCAAGGCGGTCGACGTGGTACAAAAAAACTACTAAAATACAAATACTGCAGTGCCATAACAAATAATTGACTTAACATACTAGTAGACGTAAAAATTAAGAAAAAATAAGAAATATATATTGTAGTTATTTTCAAAAAGTTACGTGACGTTGGCATTACGAAAATGTATGCGAAAATGCGAGAAAAATGTTTGGCAAGCCTTGAGAGCAGCAGCAGCGGCGACTCAGTCGCAGTCTTCGACTAGGCAGCCTATTGCATAAAAATGTGTGAGTACGTGAAGAGCATGGTCCCGCCCCAAGCCCCGTGTCAACTTCAACGTAGCAGCGACCGCATGACAGCCCAAAAAGTATGCTACACAAAACTAAATGCAATGTATAGCTGAGATTTCTGTTATTGATTAGTGTGATTTTTGTTGCTGTAGTTGTAGTTTTTGTTGTTGCCTAACTGATTTGACATTAAATTGCAATCGGTTTCATCATCAGCAGCTGTACTCTTCCCACAAACGAGGCGATAACATTTCAAGTGCATTATGTCATTTTTCTCGTTTTGTTGTCTACCTGCCTCTTCCAGTATGTGCTCGCGCGCGTGTGTGTGTTGGTGTGTGAGTGTGTGTCTGTGTGTATATGTGTGAGTGTTTGCCATTTTGCCAGTCGAGGACGAGGACACAGCGCTCGTTGTCTGTCAACAGGGCGCCATTTAATGCCGTAACTTTGTGTAATTAAAAAAAAAGAGCAAGCAACAAGGCGGGTATTATGTCCACCTACACATAAATAGATACACGCACACACATACTATTACTCGAGTGTGTATATGAGTGCTGTTAATAATAATATATATCCATATATATAAATCCATACATATATATATACATATATATATATATACATATATATTGTAATTTCCGCACCAGCAACCAACTGAAACAGATGTTATGCAAAAATTAAAATGTCCGCTGGTTTTATTCAAGCTCCAAGGCGTCATCATAATGATTTAAACGGCTTGACCACACACTCGTTATGTGTGTGCGTGTGTGTGGCTGTTGAAATATGGCCTGGGCGGCAGCGCTTGACGCTCGGGTGATTGTGGGTTAAAAGGGTCACAGCATGTGGGAGCAAGTGCCGCATTTCATATACGGACTATCCATTAAATTGGCAGCATAAATAAGTGTAGGGCATAGTGTTACTGTCAGTCTACGTGTGTCTGTGTATGTGTGTGTTTGGGGGTGGGCAGCTATCTGGCAAGCAAAGCTGCAAACAATTCAGCGCTCGGCCTACTTCCGGTTTGATTGAAATTTATGCGCGCTGCCTGAAAGTAGGCAATGCTTTTTGTTACCCACTTTCTGCTTGGCAACTGAGCAATATATTTGTGCACTGTGCGAAATCAGCTGGTGCTTCCTGCTGGAAACACACCCAGCGCGTCGCCCAAGCCAGTCAATTGGCTAAGCAAACTAAACAGTTGCCGGCGATTTCCGTTTTTGGCCAACGTGTGTGCAAATTCAATTATCAACTCAAATATTAACTAACAGATTAGAGCAGCGCTGCCCTGGCACGTGTCTGTCTGTACGGACACCCAGAACCCCAGCTTCGGTTCAGCTAAGTTACAGCACTTTTTGAGAATTTGCCTAACCTGAGCTCATTTGCGATGATGTATGTCCTTGAACGGGCAAATACTTACTTTTATATTGGCTCATACGAGTCGAGTTGCTGAGCTGTGCGTGTGATTCACGTTTTGAGGTGTGTTTCGCTCTGTGTTTTGAGTGGTTTTTTCAGAGTTGTTGTTGTTTACCAAATCAACAACAAGCTGAAAGTTCAAGAATCCTCCGCCAGCTGCATCCGCCCAACAATCTGCTCTCAGACCTGAGTGTTGTTGTCGTCGTGTCGCTGTTGATATTTGTCAATAAGCTACGCAATTGTAGGCCGTCAATGGGTTATAAGAGCAACAAAACAAAAAAAGCAAAACACCATCACTGAAAATTTTCCCAAAGTGCAGTAGTCGATCATTATTTGCCTTTTGATGAGGTCAGCGCTCAGCAGCTTACAAAAGCTTACGCTGGGTCAATATCTGGGCTGCTGAAGGGTGGAGGGCTCAACAAATAGCTTGAAAAGGTGATTTACTTATAAAGTTGTTAAACAGAACTGCAAAGAATAAACAAATAGTTTTGCATATAAGCTATTTATAGCACAATATCTTCTCGATTAACTGCTACATATAAAGGCATCTGTTATTGAACTTTGTATTGAATTTGTGCATGTATTGATTATGATGAATATCAGTTTAATCTCCACTGTGATCGAAGCTTTTCATCTCTTAGATTATTATATCCATAATTACCACTGTTATCGAACCTTGCCCATCTCTAACGCTGCTTTCAATTACCAATGTTATCGATCCCTCTAGTACGCATCTCTAGATCTGCATTCAAGTCCACTTGCCGTTGTTATCGTAGCTCGCGCATCTTTCATATCGCATCATAGTCTAAACGCGGCATTTATCGATCACCTGTGCAGCGTCGACTCCGATGGAAACATTAGTTCATTGAACTGTTAAGCTCGGGTGCAAGACAGTGACGGCGTCAATGGGCGGATTCTCTTTGCTGCTCCAACAACTTCAGCTCCTCCCACGTGTGCCACGAATTTTAATTAGATAGTAACACATTTTGTGGGCTGACACCGTTACCAACTGCATGCACAGGCGCACACACACATACAAACACATACCAAATATGAGGAAGACTCTTCGGCTAAAAGCTTATGTGTGTGTACTTTGACCTCTTTGGACGTCGGCTGCGTTGCGTCGTGGTCAATGTCAGTGCTAGTCGGTGGACTCTGTTTGGTGGCTTTGGACTTGGACTTGGTCTGTCTCAGTTGTAGTCGTAGCAGATTGAATTTCTTTGCATGCTCAGGCAGGTTTTTCCACACACACTCGCATCATTTCCACGACTCGTTTTTCACAGTTCTTTGCGGCTTTTTCAATTAAAGCTTGTTGCATGCCACCAGCGCTGACGTCGGCGTCGTCGTCGTCGTCGTCGTCGTCGTTTACGTGTCGCTCTTCACGACCCAAACTGCGCGCCGCAGCTGCCCCTGCTGTCCATGGCTTTCTTTTGTGCGCTTTGTGGCTGCCTTTCTTGTCCATAAAGCGGCGATGTCTCTGCCACTGCCTCGGTCGCTGCCACCGCCGCTGTCGACGCTGGCTGACGCTGCATAAAGTCTTTCACTTCTTTGCCATCCAAGTTTAGTTCAGTTCCAGCCGGCGTACGTAGCGCACGCGTCTTGCGAGATCGATCTGACAGCGGGATACATCGAAATAATCGAGTTAGCAGCGATAAACGATAAAAGCGAGCATAGAACGCAACGCGATCTCTCTCTCCGTCTCTCTCTCTCTCTCTCTTTTACCGATTCTCTCTCTATATATCTCTGTTGCAGTGTGTGTGTGTGTTTGTGTGTGCGTGCTTGCCTCTCTTTCACTCTCTCCATTTCCCTCTCTCTCTCGCTCTCTTTCACTCTCTCTGTTTCTCTTTCTCTATATCTCACCCGTTCGATTTCTTTGCGCATGCGCAGCGTCGAAGACAAACACACGCATGCGCTGTCTCCGTCTCCGTCGCCGTCAGCGACTCCGCGCAAAAGTGAAAATATTTGGAGAAATTTCTTGAGCAGAATTTCAGTTGCCAGTTTTTTGTGTGTCAGCTTTTAATAAGTAACCAAAAAAAAAATAACAAAAATAGCGGAAAAAAAAAACACAAATTATAATCACGTTTATTCAATGATTGACCCGCTGCGATAATAGTGTTAATTTCAATTCCAAATTCAACGAAACAGAAACAATTTACGATTCGCTGGCCTCCTAAAACGAAAGTGTTTGCTTACAAATGTCATTGACCCAATTTTAAACTCGCGCAACGTTCACAGCCGGAAACAGCAGCACCCACAGCTACAAT